AGAGGATCTCCTCGGTATGTTACTGCGCTTCCTTTACGATATTCTTTTCCTCATCAGCGCTTACTTAAGCGACCATCCTGGTAGCCGACTTCGAAAGCCAACGTCCTGAGTTAACTAAAGTACTATAGAATTATGCTGCACAATGATCGGTTTTACAACGAAAACGCATTTAGGAATTTTGGTTGATATTTCAGGATTAAGTCCATCTACTGTATTGCTAAAAGGTTTATTGTCTACTGGGAGAACAATCTGCGGTCCCAGAAATTACGGCGGTCCAGATCAAAAACGTTTTTGGCTTGAAGGCATTCGTGCGACGGGTGTTTTTATTCTTGTCTTCGTTTCTTGGAATCTGGACACAGTATCAGACAAGGCCGCATAGATAAACAGATGCTCACCGCCAGATGAAGAATTTACTCGCTACACGGCGGATTGCAGAGTCAGCAACTCGAAATGACACCAGACAGGGAATGCCATCACTACGGGAAATGATTTCGGTGAATACTGTACGCAGAACTTGTGGAGGTTGTTCTGACCGATGAAAGCGAGTAAAAGTTCATGTTACTAAGGAGTATTTTGCGAAATGGCCATAGGCCTGCGGAAATTACTCTAGATTGCATTTCGGTTGGCAGAAATGGAATTACTATATTTAACTGTAAGTAATTCAGGAAGAGATAAAATGACCCCAAGTGAAGTGTTGTGCCCACAGCGGCCAAAATGTTGCAAAGTAGTGGGGACATTGAACGTGTGACAGTTTAGAAACTTGAATGGCAACCTGAAATTCCTTTTGTAATCGGCAAAGCCACAAAGCACCTAGATCTGGTAGTCCACAACGTTCTCGATGTGTCGCAATTGGGCGTTCCGCGATCAAAGTACTTCTGGTAACAAAAGGCTGGACAAGTTCCACTTTCTTTCGCTCACCAGTGCGCAGAAGGCTAAATAAAAATGCATAGCATTCTAGACCAGGCGGGTGCAAAGATAGCCAGTTTCAAATTTCCATGGGGGAAATCCAGTCGTTTTGTCTGCCTTGAGGCCAGTCAGGCAGGAAAACTGAAAGACTGGGGCTCCTGGAGTTTTGCATTCGTAGATCCTCAACAGTTCCGTTCACATTAATGTCGTCTCCATCAGTGCACACTTGGGGCTGATGATGACTGTTCAGGCGGCGAAACCATTGTTTTCAGATTGTGTAACATGATTACCAAAAGGGAGGCTGGCAGACGTCACAAGACCGAGCTTTGCGGATCTCATGTTGAGTTAGACGTTACCTCATCTTAGATTAAGGCCTCTGAGATTTACGAAATTGCCTGGGGGGGATGTTTACTGGCCGAAAGTTTTCAGCTGACGTAGACTGGCCGTGCTTGGGAATATGTAGAAGGCATGAGTCCTTGTACAAACTGGAATAGGTCTCACTTTCGAGAGCGAGATTAGATATCTCGCACATGTGGGACGAAAACACCTCACCTAGGCCCGCATTTAAATTGCTGTTTGCAACACTATTTGGTTCAGTACTATGAGCTTTAAGTAATCATCCGGTGACTAAAGCGGCGTCTTCGACCGGCGCCGGTCTATATTTGTAGGTTAGGAAGTGAAGCGGTCGAATTGTCTTTATGCTTTTTGGACAAGAAGGCATTGGAACTGCCAGCGATCAGTTTGGCGTATGCGATAGGCTTTTAGAGTGCTTCTCAAAGAATGGGATGTTGTGGTTCCATACAACTACTCATTTGTGAGAAAACATTTTACGTCGTTTGACGAGCATTTTTCGGCGAAGTTTACCATTCAGGCTAGTTATTTGCTTCTGATAGCCTCTTAGCCCGCTCGTAAATGCAACGTATCAAAGGCAGAACTGAAACTTCGTGTGTCAGATGAAACCGACGGGGCATTCTGCGTAACCTAGGACGAAAGTATATAGGGGGGGGGGAAGTTTCATTCGTAGCACTTAATCTTCTTCTTCTTATGATGTATTGCCATAGATTTCATTTTCCCACTTTGCAAAGTCCACAGTTAGATGCAATTGGACTGCCCAGTAAATCACACGCAGACCTATGAAAATTTTTCTGAAAGGGCTATTTACACGCAGAGTCAAATATCCTGATTTTCTTCCTGTCAACTTTTAGATAATTGAACGCTTGGAGGCGCAAGGATTTTCTCCTTAAAACAGTGGTAATCTACATCGTTTCATATTTTTCCTTTAATTTGCGCTTTTGATACCTCGTCTTCTACAGCATTCCTTATGCTACGCATCCGAATTCTTCTCATTTCAGTGACTTGGAATTCTGGCGCGCACGCAACCTCATTCGTCTGCTTCTTGAATCTATTTGCGTGTAATTTGCTCGTAGTTTTATTTCTTATATAAAAATCCACCATTAAGATAGTTCAAATAAATTCCTGATTTCCAAATGACTTTCGCAAATTTTATTTTCTTTCGTGATCGTCTGAGACTTTTGTTCCTTACGGCTTACCTACACTTCCCGTCGATCAACAGGGTAAATAACTGTTGCAACAATACAATCAGGAAAAAGTCAGGTTTAACCTGAAAGATAGCCGGACGATAGCGTCCTGGACTTCTGTCTTTATGATTAGTTCTAATTATGCTGGTTCAGCTCTCTCTGTAATTCCCACGGAAAGACTACACATCGGTGATCCTCGGTCCTACATAACATGTCGCATTTAAGGGAATGCGTCGTTCTGTTTAGTGAATGCTTCAGTATTTCACACTATGAACAAGTCGTCTCTGCTTGCATGAACTACCACGAAGCCCTGGTTACGCAGCGACTTCGTAACCTAACAATTTGTGTCCGCGTCCTCAACACTGTCCTAGGTACCAGTGGCACATTCTCCACAATATTCCTAAATTGCGACGACAGAGACATTCTAGTTAACTAAAATTCCGACATTCTACAGCCCACAACTGCACGTCCTCTGCAACGATATTTCTGCGATCTCGCAGTCATACATGTCGGGTTCATTCATATATGGGCATTTAAAATAAGAATGACAATACATATTTTCGAGCTAAGTCCAATTAGGTGGTCCAGATAACGACAAACAAAAGTTATATATCTGCATATATATGCATATTTCGAAAGAAATAAGTTCTTCGGGAAAGACAAACTAGTCCAATTGTAAATTGTTGACCTTGCTTACCCAAGTCACCTTCAACCGTGAAGTAGGTGTGCAAAATAGTTAACATTTGAACGTGCCTAAAATCGATTTTGCCCTGTCACTTCTGCTGGCATAATGTCCTGATTGGCCAATGCCTTTTCCACTTCTATTTGAGGCTGTTGTACACCGCATCCAATTCTACGTGTCGGTTGATGCATGAGTTATCAGAATGGATGGCCTCTAAACGTTCACGGCCCTTCCTAGAGGAGTAGACACCTACGATGCGAGTCCTGTCCCAGTCGAATTTGTGTCCAGGTTCCAGCGTATGCATGGCAGCTTGGGACTAGCGGTCTGGCCTATTTACGACCACCTGATTTTCGTGCACTCGTGCAGAGGCCGATTTCGTAGGTTGACCGCAGTGAACCGCATTACAGGTGTTGCATGGTATCAAAAAGAGTACTTCCTTCTTGTATAAATAGCCACCCCTATCCTTAGGGTGCATAAGCTGGTTTCGAATTCTAGTTGTCGGCTTGTGCGCCTCACGTAGTTGGTGCTCCTTCAGGTGTCTTTCAACTAGTTCGGACACATCCTTAATGTGCGGAAGTGTTCGCCAGTTTTTTCAGTTTGGGCGGCTGATCGGATCAATCTACTTCCTTGTCTTTTTTTTAACTCCTGTCGTTTCATGCATCGGTGCAAAAAATATCTAGGATGTCCATTCCGGCAAAACAGATTGAAAAAAATATTTAGTTCTGTTTGATAGGTTTCGTTGTCAGAACAGAAAGTTCTTGTTCGGTTAATGATTCTGTTCGCGGCGCTTCTTTTGTGAGAGATTGGGTTATTGCTATCGTAATGTAAAAGGATTTCCGCCTAGGTTACCTTGCGGTAAACCAAAGTGTGGAATGTCCCGACGACCTTTCTCGATACGAGGATATCAAGAAACGGGAGTTTGTTGTCAGCCTCATTCTCGGGTGTGGAACAGATTCCTGGAAGTGTCGCCTGCCTTAGTGATTCTTTCAGGACTGCCTTGTACGCAGCGCCTGTTAGGCGGGGTGTAGATCTATAGCTCGGTTGAGTGTACCAGCCGAGGATTAGCTTTTGGGATACGATCTGCACATATTCTCATTGGCTCGAAAAATTAGCCTCGCTTTCTCAAAGTCAAAACCGTGGTTCAGCTCTCGTATGTGACCATAGACCAAAGGCAGCTTGTCCTTGCGGTTGATTGCAAGTTGATGTTCGTGCAATCTTGTATCGAGGCATTTGCCCGTTTCACCAAAATACCTCGCACTGCAATTCAAGCATGGTATGCTGTAGACCACAGATGACCGTTCTGTTGTTTTTAGCATGTCTTTGGGCTTCATTATTTGCTGTCTGATGGTACCTTCTGGTTTATGAGCCACGCCAATCCTTAAAGGTTTCAGGACTCTCGCCGTCGTCTCTGATAATCTCTTCACATATATTATTGAGAGCCAGAACTTGGGCTTTTCTCCTCTCGACCGTTCAAAATGAGGCTTTTTGATGCAATTGCATATAATAGACTGTGGTTGGCCGCTGGCTTTAAAAAAGGCCTGCAAGTTATTCGCCTTCCCCTTCTTTCCACTGTCGTCGGTACAGTGTGTTTGAACAGGTTGAAAGAGAGTTCTGACACAACTGCCTTTTTGACCAAAAAGACGGTCGCTTCAGAAGTGGAAGATTGCGCCTAGTACTTCTTTCCTTACGGTAAACCGTTGTTCTCATCGTCCCATCTGCGATTTCGCAACTTGTACGTCCTGGAAGGACAACTGCTTGTTGACTTCCCCTTCCACAGTAAACTGAATGTCGGGGAAAGATTGCATTTTACAATGCCTTGAAAGCCTTCACCTCGCACGTCTTGAGTACAAGGACGTTTCGTCGACGTATCTGGCCTAGAACTTTGGGGGGTACGAGCTGAGGACCAGGTGCTCGAGCCTTGGCAGAACAACTTCGACAATTAGTCTAGACGGAGGCGAGCCCATCGGTGTCCGCAACTTTTGCTCATAGACGTGGCCGTTGAATGTGAAGAAGGTCTTAAGACGCAGTTTTAGGAGCTCGATGGTGTGTGCTCGTTTCAGCAGTTGGTCGGTCTCATCATACTTTTTCTGGGGAAAACCGTCAATTGCGTCGATAGCCAGCGCGGGTGGGATGGCGATGAACAATGAGATCACGTCAAAAGACGCCATTACCGCATCTGCCTCTACTTCGAGATGTTTGATGCGCGTCAAAAACTTTTCAGCTATTTTAGTCTTTTGAATAATCAGACCCCATATTAGTCTTGAATTCTTATTTAGGGTCTCATATGACCAGAATATGCTGAAGATGAATATGTTCGCAGACCATAACAGACCAAACAATAGATTTATAAGCAAATATACTACTAGACTTTCCTGAATAAATTGTCAAAACGATCGAACATATGTCCCATAATATATGTGATCTTATGGAATGCTATCGCAGGCACCATTCAATAATTTTAATAGCGCCACAGAATCTACTTCTTATGACCTTGTTAATGTAAATGACAGGGGAATAGGAAAAATTAAGGATTTGAAGGGCGAGTCGAGCAATTACAAACAATTTAAAATTATTTACGGAAATGAGGAGCAAGCTCCACTGCTGCTGAACAGGAGATAAGCACTCCGAGATGCCCACCCGACGATTTTTTCTGTGGAACTTCTCACACCCCGAGCGGAAGAGATGAAGGGAACTCAAGGCCAAACTCCTATAAAGATACAATACATTATTGAATGGAAAAATCGTAAATGTTCGGAGCTCATTCCTATAGACACAACCACTAACATTGATCATAATGAAAATTCAGGTTTTAGGAAAAGAACGTTCCTATCTGCCACACCGAACAGGGAAATAACTGCCAACACATTAACGTCCGGTTTGATCAATCAGCAGCAGACTCGAAAGCGGACAAACGACCGGAAAACTTACACGAAATATCTAGCAAATTTGACCCGTGACTGTGAGGCAATGTGGCCTAAACTAAGTATGAGTTGCGCAACTAATTTGAATTTCCTGACCGTAACAGTGCACCCAATCAAACTCTTGATGGTAACGACGCGATAATAATGATTTTTTTATTAAAGACCCTTTGGGGTCCATCAAAGCAATTAAAAAAAATTGGCATGCGAATTGTAGACGAGGTAGGTAGGATCTGTAAAAAATGCAATTCATAGTTTTTGAATTAGTAGTCCGTTGAGAAAAATTACTAGCGAGGTGTGCAAAAACTCCACTGAAAAATTTAAAAATGATTGGATTGATTCTACAGCAGAAAAAAACCCCTCGATAAAAAATAACAGAATATGCGGGCACGACTGGCCTATATGTGGCGGTATATAGCGGATTATAATCAAACATTGACAGGGCAGAAATGAATGTCAGCCTTGAGGGGTACGTATGCGGGTTGGACAGGACTAGCCTGCACGCGGTATTGTATACGGGATTCAGAACTGACATCGTCACGGCCGGATTAATACGCCGGATGAGACTATTCGCGTCAAAGAGGCCAGTCGAGAGGAACCCAGACGCGATCGGCCACAGTATGCATCCAGCCCAACCGAGGAGCGGGGAAGGGAGGTACGACCAAACTACTAGTAGACGGCGACTACTGAGGGTTCCGCCATGAGCGTCGACAGACCGCATGAGGTCAAAATGCGGGAGATGACATCGAGAACCGCGAAAACCGTCGCTATGGCGGAGGAGTGATAACAGTGGACTTAGAAACCAATTTAAAACAAAGGTGCGTAATGATATAATTGAGGGTTACCAATTGATCTGCCAATAAATTCCAGTAGGACCCTTCTCAAAGTAAAGAACAGGCGTGTTATGGGATGAGAGCTAACAGTGCCTTTACGCTTACGGGTGGATGATGTTTGCGTAATTTCGACTTGAATACAAGTAACTTAGTCGATGACCTTATTTCTGGCTGAAGATTATTCCAAAGGAAAGCATATTTGGAAGCAAAGAAGTGGGAGTGCTTAAATGTAGTGCAAAGAGGCGGCGGAATCACCATAGAGGACCTGCGCGTGGCATCAGACTGATCTCTCGGAGTGAGAGTGTCCATGAGCGGAAGATTGGAGCTAGAGTTGATGCGAAAAAGGAAGCAAAGGCCAGCTTCTAGTCTTCTTACCCACAAAAACTTATTGTTCGTCAGCTGACATCTTCGAGTATAAGAAATAACGGATGTAACTTGAGATAACAGTTTCCGAGTGAAAACCCTCTGAACATTTTCGAACTTATAGCGCTCGCAGACATTCATTAAACCAAAGAAAGGAGAGCAGTATTCGAGGACTGGAAGAACAAACATTTTATAAATTCTTAGCTTCATTTCCGGAAGGAATAAATTATGCGATATAAATTCACATATATGCGCGGCTTTGGCAGAGATCCTATCTGCATGAAGTGATAAAGCAAGTTTATTCGTATAACCTAAACCTAGGTCTTTTATGGTGAGGCATTCTGAGAGTGGGTTATTCTGACAAATTATGGCACTAGGAAGATTTGTAGGATGAAAAGACATGAAACTACACTTTGATGATGAAAATTTCATCTGTCATGTTGAACCTCAATCGGCATTAATTATTCAACAAAATCGTTTACAATGTCCTTAGAATATGAATAAACACACTTGAGGTCACGGCATAAATAGTAGTTTGCGAATTTCCGAATTCAGCCGAAATATCATTCATGTACATAAGGAAGAGTAGCGGATCCAGAACCGTACCTTGAAATATGCCACTCTTGATCCAGTGAGGTCTCGAGTAGCTATTACCGACCATAACTGTCTGAAATCGGCGGGACAGAGAGGAGCTTAGTGTGTAGATTGGAGATGGCCGGATGCTGAGAGCTTCCAAATTTACTAAAAGACTGAAAAGGCTGAAAAGTTCTTGACGCGCATCAAACATCTCGAAGTGGAGGCAGATGTGGTGATGGCGTCTTTTGACGTATAAATTATGAAATCGACAGACGGGAGAATAAGAATAACGGTTTACCTTAAGGAAACAAATACTAGGCGTATCCTACACTTCTGAAGCAACGCTCCTGTTAGTGATAAAGGCAGTTGTGTCAGAGCTCTCTTTCAACTTGTTTAAACACACTGTACCGACGACAGTGGGAAGAAGGGGGAGGCGAATTACTTGCACGCCCTTTTTAAGGCCAGCGACCACCCAAAGTCCAATATACGCAATTGCTTCAAAAAGCCTCATTTTGAACGGTCGAGATTAGAAAAGCCCAAGTTCTGGCTCTCAATAATATATGTGAAGAACGTATCAGAGACGACGGCGAGAATCCTGAAACCTTTTGGGATTGGCGTGGCTCATAAACCAGAATGTACCATCGGACAGCAAATCATGAAGCCCAAAGACCTGCTACCAACAACAGAACGGTCAGATGTGGTTTACAGCATTCCATGCTTGAATTGCAGTGCGAGGTATTTTAATGAAACGGGCAAATGCCTCGGTACACGATTGCACGAACAACAACTTGCAATTAACCGCAAGGACAAGCTGTCTTTGGTCTATGGTCACATAAGAGAACTGAACCACGATTTTGCCTTTGAGAAAAAGAGGCCAATTTTTCGAGCCAATGAGAAGATGGCCAGACTGGTGCTCGAAAGTTGGTCCTAGGCTGGTACACTCAACCGAGTATAGATCTACACCCCGCCTACCAGACGCTGCGTACAAGGCTCGGATCAGTCCGGACAGGACCAGTAAGGCAAGCGAGCACGCGGGACCGAGAGTCAGCGCTCACGGAAAAGAGCGGAATTGGGGGCTAGAGGTCATGTGACCAAAGCCGAACTCTGCCTCACCGACGCGCCCGCGAAGCTGAATGCTGCTCAACTGAACAGCAACGACCGATCAGTCCACCGGCTGACGTGGGAGAGGCCGAGCGGCACGTTGATTTGACCACAATTACGCCGACCCCAAAGGTAACAAAGGCCACGCAGGCCTGTCAGCGGTCAGCTCCGGGGAAGTCTAATCCAGTCAGCGGCAAACAGGCAGGTCAAAGTTCGTGCGTCCAGCACGGCTATAATACGAGGCAAGCGGCAAGACTGAACAACTCAAGATCGGCAAGTGCAAAAACTACGCTAGTCTGATGATGGAAACGAGGAAGATTCCGAAACGTCAGTTCGAATACAATGTGGTCCATGAATTCGCCCTCTCTTCTTCTTCGTCTTCTTCGGGAGATGATGAAGGCGATGCAATGTCTGGACCTCGAATCTTTACGCATATCGATCTATATATAGGCAGAATGATATTACCGACAAAGACAAGGGAGACTGGAATGGCCATTTCTGGCTTATTAGTCGTCGTCAGCCAGCCATACCCAAGCCCGAAGTGTGGAACACAATATATATATAGATCTATGTAGATCAGAGTTGGTATGCACTCCAAGTGGATATAATTTAAAAATAGAATGCGTTCTTCGGAAAAGTCGAGTTGAACTCGTAAATTTTCGAGCTGGTGACACCAACCCGTCGTCAGACGAAATAAAATCATGGGATAAATTTATGTTGCCTCAGTAGACTAGTTGATGATAGAACAGAAATACTGCTGAGTTGTGAGTGGGGGCTGCCGAGGTCATGGTAGGTCCCTAAATGAGGATGGGGATAGGGAGTGAAGGCGGAACAACTACGGCGCATTGTGCTGGAGCGGGTGGGTGGGTGGTGAATCAGTTGGAATGCGGTCAGCTGCATTCACGGTCGTTGATGCGTGATTAGGGCAGGGGGCAGTCAGTCGTGAACGTAGACCCTCGTAATGGGCATCTAAGTCAACATGACGGTTGACACTACCCGCATTGGAGTACCAGACCTCGAGGAATTCTCTCGCTCGTTTTGTGTTAGCCATGGCGACGACCTCAGTGCCATCCCAATTAAATCGGTGGTCGTACTGGACTGCAGGTGATATGGATTGCAAGGCTACCGACTGACGTCCCAACTCAGTCCATGCAGTCAGTCTAGTTGAGTGCGCGTTTGTGGCAGACGGGTGGACTGAGAACCAGGCTAAAGCGGATCCTTCCTTGCGTGACCTACGATACTCTACGCATAGGTGATGTACGCCACTCAACCCCCGTTGTGCCAAATCCTGGTGCTTGTGTTTGGGTGGGGGGGCGGTTGAGCAGGCCGTGTATGTTGCGCGCGCAGACATGGTCACTAGACAACGTCAGCCACCGCACCCATTCCCTGCCCCAGTCTGCTGACCGGTTCGGACAGTGGCTGGGGCATTGGAATGGGAAGGAAGAGTGAGGTCGACGACTCAGCGCACTTTCCTCACTATAAATAACCTAGCGCATCTGAAACTAGCAGGGTGAGCCAAAAGCCTTGGCTTGGAAGGTTGCCAACTTAAGGTGTAGCATGGACCTTGCAGGCGGCCCAGTAATGCGTGTTTGCGTGGAGTGATCGGCTGGTGGCCTGAGTGTCAGGCTGCAATGGCTTCTTCCTGATGTGTCCTTTATGACACTACCACTCCAAGAGACCCGAGCCAAGGTGTGACTTTTGCCGCGCCAGCTCTTTTTGTTGTTGGTCAAAATTCTGGTCCAATGTATGTTGTACAGTGCGTGACCGATCTCATGAAATGTTGGCCGAAATTCTGAAATGTGTTTTCGATTAGGAAGGATTACTTAGGTGGGGTTTTAATTCTGATTAGCGTGCAGCATATTCCTATAGCATTTCGAACTCAGCAGTATGTCGGCTTTTGGATGCACTCCTTTTTGACCTTCTGCAGAAATTTCGATCTGAAAAAAGTGACTTCTTAAGTAGCATACGTGTTTCGTATTTATTTCCGATGGTTTTACAAATTCAAGAATATTTTATAGAAAACGTACACAAAAATATGTCTTCTTACACTCGTTTGGTAGAAAATCAACCTGTCTTCATATTTTATACCCGATGAAAGTGTATATTCAAGTTTTCAAAAAGTTTTGCAGTTCCCGGATACTTTTGAGCCTGATCTACCATTGCATCAGCTTTTAGCGATTTCAGTCTACAAGGTGCATGCTTTCCGCATGAGGAAATGCTATAGGATTATGCCGCAAGCTAATCAATTTTGCACTGCCACCTAAGTAATCCTTCCTAATCGAAAACAAATTTCAGAATTTCGGCCAACATTTCATGAGATCGGTCACGCACTGTAGAAGAGGGAGTTGTAGAGCGGAGCGCCTAGGTGCGACCTCGACCGTGCCATCCACCTGCGTCCTCCGCGTCTCCGGTCTTCCTGGCTTTGTCTTGACACCGAGTCCAGGTGGGGGAGGGGAGGGTGCTGCATATGCTTTGCAAGTCTACATTCACTATAACCTGAATCACACGAAGTCACTCTGCCTACTCTCACCTTTGCTGTGGAGCGCGCGGTGGACATCGTCGCCAACGACGATCGAATTGTCCAAGGCAAAAGGCGGTGTTCGTAATAGGGGAAGGGGTTGGACAGCATTTAGCTCAAATTCCCTGTTATAACTAGTTGCCACGTGCTGACGACTGACCTCAGCATCCTAGGTGACGCAGTTCGGGAATACGTGCGCACTAAAATCTCTAAGACTAGAAAAGTTATTTGACTTCAACGGAGACAAGAGAGGGGACTGGCGGATCATGGGCAAGCTCAGTTAATCGACCATCCACTGTCTGCACGAATGTCAGTAGTGTTCATGCGGAAAGACCACGTTGGTTACTGGGTTGGGACAGACGTCCTGCAGCACTTGCGATGAATGTTATCTTTGCATGTTTTTTTAAAAGTCGTTTATTCGTCATCGGACCTGTACAGTAATTCAAGGGGGAGGGTGGAGTAGCAGGAGTTAAACAGTCAATAAAATTCATTATGGGGAAGAGGGTTGTGGGGCGTTTAGTGATCATGGATGAGAGTCTAGTTCTGTCAGGAGGTAGCGGGAGGGGAGAGGTATCTGGTCATTAGCTGTCCCTCTTTTATCTTTGTAAGGCGACGTGGCTGGTGTGAACACACATGCTGGGTGTTGTATCCAGCTGGTCAACGCTTGGAATTCTCCACGCCCTCCTCGCAACTATTTCCACATTTGGCCCCCGTTGGCATTCTCCTTCCCACTTTTTGTAGCCCTCTTCCAAACGTGATCGGCGTTCTTTTAATTAACAAGTTTTTGTATTTTGACGTTGAGCGGGAAATTCGATTTGCTCAAACAGTAACAAAGGAACGCTTTGTCTAGGGTTTCCAATGTTGAGGGTTGTACGTTTTTTTAGTATTACCTTATTCTATCAATAGTACCGTATATACACCGAAATTTGTTTTGGCCTATACGCGTAACTCAATTTACAAAGAATTCTAGACTGGGTTTATCTTTACGCAGGGGTACCTTTGCGCCTGTGCAAACGCACAATGTTGGGTTGGTTAGCCATATGGCTAGTGTCTCTGTCGTCGCAAGTGTCCGCTGACGCAGGAACCTGGAGTGTCTTGTCGGAATTCTATAGATGAGTCGGGAGTCCGCCCATAGACAGGGCTGCCGACCAGATGCAGGTCCTGGCCTTAATTACTCACACAACCAGTCGGGCCCTCGCTATGGCGGAAGTCGGGAGGGCTTTGTCGACAGCCGTTGGCAAGGCGACAACGATCCGTACCAGCAACAGCAGCAGCAGCAGCCGCCGCAATACCTCATCAACCCCGCCATTGGTCAATTAATGCCCCTGCATCGAGGTCCCGCGGACCGGGTCAGTTTTTGCGCGCTACCATTCCTCTGATTTGTGCACTTGCCACTCGTGCGATTTTCACCTTTATCAGACCCCTTTCCTACTTTTCTTCTCACCTAGACTTCACTCTTTTGATGCCATTTACGGTAGCTGGGCAATCTAGTAGAATGTTAACCGGTAATGCTGAAATGTGTTTTTGATCAGGACGGATTGCTTAGGTGCGGTTTTCATACTGATTATCGCGTGTAGCATAATCGAACGATACTGCAGTCACGCCAGGGTGTCGGTGTTTAAATAAGCATCTTTTCGACCGTCGGCAAAATCCGCACTGTGAAACATGACTACTTACATTATAGGCATTTTTCCCGTCGATTTTTGTTGCTCATTCGGATGCAAACAGAAGTTTGAAGAAGGTCTTACTTGAGACCAACGAGTCCACATCCAAGCAAAAGAAGACGTTAACCAACCGTAGCACGTCCACGCTTCCATCGGAGATCGGTTTTGATGTGATTGCTGTCGATCGTCTCGCTCAACTTCAGAGTGAACTTCAAGACCTGAGAGTCAGGCTTTTTGTCGACTGGCAAGACACAGCTACCTGTACTGCTGATGACTACGGTGTATGTTTCAAGGAAGTTGGGCTGCAAGCCACGTGTACTGACCCTGGAAGATTGTCGAGTGACCTGGCCGCTTCTGTAAACCCCCACGTACGTTACGCGATTTGTTTTCGCTCTCACTCTTGGCTCAACTTTTTAAACCTCGGACCTAGTTCACTATTCATACACACTGCCCACTTATTTTAAAGGACCCCTGTTGTCCAGCGCCACGATAGGCTATCTGCAGTGCAGCTAAAATAGAAGAGTGGTTGCTGCCACCAATGGCGTCCATGGGATTTAATACCAAGGTCACATCAAGGAGGCAGTGCTCTTTGGCAGTCAGTAGCGACTACATCCGACGCATCCACCGTGCAAAACCCCACACCCGCTCCACCCGTCCGCGCCACCACCACCACCACCACCACCACCACCACCACCACCACCACCACCACCACCACCACCACCACCACCATCACCACCTCCTCTGTAGGTGACACTGACACCGCCGATTTCTCATGCTCACACTGTCCACGCACATTCACCTCACGCATCGGCCTGGTCGGTCACTCGCGAATCCATCGCACAGAGACTGGAGAACCAGTGCCTGGAGCACCAACCTATACTCACCAAGCTCGTCTCAACTGCCCACACTGCCCTCGCACCTTCAGGCATCGCATGGGCCTATTCGGCCACATGCGCATCCACGAAGACCTGCGGCAGACAACCGCCGGCCAAACCACTCATTCACTCACTCCCTACCACCACCACCATCACCCCACCACACATAAACACCCACACCTCATGCACCCAACTGTCATCTCCCACGCAAGTGCGAAGTGTGCATCTCGACTCAGTCCTCATGCGGCTTCGGCTGCAGGGGTCACTTGAGTCCGAGACTATCCCGACACGTCAGGCGTCGTGGATAGGAAGGTTGATGATTGACGCCCGCTCTCGGTTCACGCAGTTCGTCGCGTTGTGTGTGTGTGTGTGTGTTGTGTGTAGTGGCGGACTGGTGGGCTGGGCAACGAGCTGAAACAGCACTTTCCACGGCTCTCTCACGCCGTTCAACCCCCGTTGTGTGAAATCCTGGTGTTTGTGTGTATGGGGGGCCAGGTCGTGCTGTGGCGCACGCAAGCATGGTCAGTCGACCGTGTCAGCCACCGCGCCTATTTCCCCCTCCAGTCTGCTGACCGGCTCGGATAGCGGCTGGGGTGTGGGGATGGGAAGGGAGAGTGAGGTCGACGACTCAGCGCATTTTCCTCACTATAAACAATCTGACGCGCTTGAAGCTATCACGGTGCGCTAAAAGCCGTGGCTTGAAAGGTTGTCAACTGACGGGGTACCTTGGACCTCCTCCTTGACTGGAGACGGTCTGAGAGTCAGGCTGCAATGGCTCCTTTTTAATGTGGCCCTTATGTCACTCCTACCACAGTGTGGGATCCGAGCCAGGTGTTGGCGGCACGCCTAGGTGCGGCTTCGGCCGTGCCAGCCTCCAAATCTCTGTTATGTTGGTTGAAATCCTGGTTATTTGTTGTGTGGACCAGGGAGTGTGGTGGAACGCTAAGGTGAGGATCCGTCCGAGCCATCCACCTGCGGCCTCCCACGTCTCCGGTCTTCTTGACTCTGTCTTGACGCCGTGCTCAGGCGGGGGAGGAGGAGAGAGTGTAGGTAGATGCAGCGAAAGTCTACTGGCACTATAAAACCCTGCGCAAGTCACCGTTCCTGCTCCACAATGCAGTCTGTGGGGCATACGGTGGACATCATCGAAATCGATGGTCGAACTGTCATAGATGAGTCGGTTAACGTCTACCCGATGGCCACTGTCAACCAAGTGAGTCACAACTGCGCTAGAAATGGACTTTCTCCCAACTTGGTTTAGCCACGCAGAATGGATAGGGGCCCAGCTGTTCGATCAATTTAACCTGCCCCACAGAAAAAAAATGAAGGCGTAGATACACGCTGAAGAGTTCCGATGGGCAGTCTATTCCTACCTTCAAGGCGAAGAAGCGGAGTGCTTGTAAAAACAGGTCTTATCTTAGCGGCTGGTTACGTGCGCGCGATTGCAGCGTTTAAGCTATGATGTAGGAGTTAGCTCGGCGGATCCTCTGAAAACGGCAGTGTGTGAAATAACTCCTCCTCAGCTCTCGAACAATCAGATGTTGGAGGACATTCTTCCATACTGAAGCCAAAAAAGGCTAGAAGGAAAATATATAACAGAAGACAGATGGGAAAACAGAAATCGATATAAAAAAGATGTAAGCACAGATTAAAAACAAAACCAAGGCACCGAACAACTACAAAAAACAATAGTCTACAACACAAAAGGCACTAAGGAAAAAACTAAACGAAGAAAGGCAAAATTCCGGACAGGCAGAAAGCACAGCCCGCCTCTTAGTACGGCATTCCTAATTATGTAGATGCGTCAATCGCAGGGCATAGATCATGAAGTAGGCATTTAATGTACCTGTCGGAGGACGGAATGTTAGCTTTCCGTTTCTCTAGGTGGAAGCAGGCATAGGCTCTGCCTCGGGCAGTTTACCTTTACTCAGACTGTAATTGTCTGCAGACAGACAGCGAGAGAGAGCGAGAGAGAGATGAGCGGGGTATAGATATGATAGTGGTGTGTTCACATTAGGACCTGTGGGATTAGTGTGCAGGCAGAGCATTTTGGAAGGCAAGCAGCAATCCTCATGATGGTTTCCCTGCAGTTTTGTACTTTGCAGAAAGCGTACCTTGACGGTCAATCTACGTCTTCTTCTTTTGCTTCGACATCGAGAGTCGTTCTTTAGTCTTTTATTTTCTACTCACGTCTTTTTGTCGGTCATCTTCTCCTGCTTTATTTTTTTCTTTTTATACCTCCGTATCTATTTCAATAATTATCTGATTTTTACTTATTCTTCGAAATTTCTCTTTTTTCCTTATCTGACGAGTTTATATTCAGTCTGCTTTTTGAGCTTACTTCATACCCTGTGAATCAGCATAGAGCGTTTCGCATTCAGATGACATTTAGTGTGAATCTGAAAGATGACTCTGCGATACTGTCCTAGACTTCTTTCTTTATTGACTGATCCCCATAATACTAGCTCACTTTTCTATGATCTCTACGGGATATTTGTAATTCGGTGGTCTTCGGTCCTGGAAAATATGTTGCGCATAACTAGTTGCATCGTGCTGGCTAGTGCACTAGGAACAACTCGTCTTTGTTTGCGTGAACTCCCATGAAGGTCTGATTAATCAGCAAACGTCTGACCTGACAATTGATGCCAACGTCCTTAACATTGTCCTAGGCTTCAGGGACACATACATAAAATCCAATGACGCAGATCTCGTAGACAAATAAAGTGCCGATCAGTTAAAAAGTCTCCCGCCTCTTCCCTGTGCAATTTTTTTTCTGCGATCATGAAGTCATAAGTGGTGAAACACTAGATTTGGGTTCATTCACACGTGGACATTTAAGAGTGGAAATGAGAACACCTTCCTCCAGCCAAGTCTCACTTGGTGACCCAGACGACGACAAGTATACGGGCAAAGTAGTTTTCGGACTGAGATTCAAACAGCAACGACGACGACGACGCTGTGGCTTGGAGATGCGCTCAATGTGAGTGTGCAAATACTCAAAAGATGGCACAATTCCTACAAAATCGACAAACACTCATCTGTTGTAATACAAGGGCATCGTGGCGATATGCTTACGGTTAGGTATATGTCAGCTCGTGACTTTTTTCAATTATGTTGAAAGTACATGCAGATAACGCGGAAACAATAGTCCGGATTGACATAGAAATACTAGGAAGTAACGTCTAATACTAGGCCGGAAACAACATCCGTTTCCTACCGCTTCCGTAAGCTCATACACAAGTGTTAATGAAAGAACCTCAGAAATGCCGAGCACAGTTAAATGAACTGTGCAAAGGGTGAATCTGAAACGTCATGCCAATATATTTCTTGTTCCAGAAATCTTATCTTCGTCTTCCAAAACGCATACCTTTTTGTAGACTATAATGGGTTTGTTTCTCGCGCGTGGAGTGGTCTTCCATTGATCCTGGTTTGTAAATTCATGTTTTAGAATAAATTCCTGGTGGGAAGATAACGCATTCTAGAGTAAGCAGGTCTCAGACAATTTTTTCAACAGCTGTGGATGTGTCGAATGCTACTTAGGCAGTACTTCGTACTGTGGTAATTTGAGGTACAATCAGTAATCTACCTAACCAGATGTGGCTGAAACAGAATGAGATGTCGAGGATTATTTGGCTTTCAGCAAATGCCATCAGTGATAGAGGGACGCTCACCGATCGTTCTTACGGAACTCACACTTTCCCTTGTGTCTTACAGGCCCTCTCTCGAGTCCTACCAAAAGCCGCACAGCCGCGCATGGTATATTCGGAGTGCTATAACCGACAAAGGCAAGGGTGCCCCCTGCTGAGGTGGTTGGTCCCCCAGCGTTAGCCCTGTATATGACCCATAATATCATTCTCTATGGAATCTCCCAGTGCATCAAGGAATTTGGGCATTTTTGCATCCAAATCAAAACCCCTTTGTTACCTCAATATCAACTCTTTAGAAACGAATGTTTCTACACTTACCTCTGAAGCGTATAAATGTCCTCTGCCACAGTCGGCGACGCCAAAAGAACCAAGGTTCGTGAGTCTACAGCCTTTTCAATAGTCGCATTTCACTGTTCCAGAATTGAGACCCTTTTGATGGAAAGATACTGGAAACAATCTATTTTCCTCCGCTCACCAACGCATAGGAGGTCCAATAAAAGCGAACAGCATTCCTGACCACGCCTACGATCCACGCCAGAGAAACGCGTTTTAATGCCGCAATTTCTAAATTTTAGCAGGATAAATCCGGTCGATCTGTATGTCTTGGAGGCACGTACACTGTTACTGCATGACGTAGCTAGTAGAGGGCATTGATGATAATGATGATGATGATGATGATGATGATGATGATGATGATGAACGGTACAGCTATCTTCTAGATTAGGGTAAAATCTTTCATTTTATACTGGAGGCACCTTTTAGATTCTAAATACTTTGCATTATCTTTCGGATAAAGCTGAACGACAATGGCAATCGTCACTGAGTGCATCCCAGGACAACTTATTAACATACTTTTTTCTAAGTGCATTTTGTCCCACATATTCTGGTCATAGGTTGGTCAGCAGGGGGGATAAGAGTTGGAATAAAAAAAATTAGCTATTTTTGGCGCAATCGTAAGCAGGCATTAGGCAATCGACGAGGAATGCATTAAAGCGCGACACAAGCCAAATCTTAAAAAGGGAAGGAAAATGACTATTTTTAGCGCAATCGTAAGCAGGGCTGGAAAAGGCTGGCCAACCGAATCCTGGGTATGTTGGTCCTGTCCACTGTATCTGCAAGCCTGACTGAAGTTTGCAGAGATTATTTAAGTAAATTCAGAGTACGAATCAAGCAATGCGTGAAGAAATGTACCTATACCATTCGTTTGTTTTGGGTAATCAGGTTTATTCACGATAAAAACTGCACTCCGAGAAATGACGGCATTACTGACTAGGGATATTTGACAGGCGTTTAGTGACATTGTGCGATCTTCATTAGTTTTCATGAAACTGGGACCTTGCGTCCTACAAGGAAACACGAATAAACACTTGCTCATCGCCAGATGAGGAAATTACTGGCTGGGTTGCGAGCTGCAGATTCAGCGCCATGCACCTTATAATGAGGCCATGCAAATAGAGAGATAAATTACCAGGCATCCCGTCATTATGGGAGGTGATTTTAGTGCATTTGTTATGCAGAACTTGTGGAAATTGTTCTGAATGAGAAAAGCGAGTACTATGTCGTTTAAACAAGAAATAATTTTATGAACTCTTTATGCTTATGTCGGGAAAAAAACGGACGGTATTTAACTGGGGTAAAGGGACGCTCACCAATCGTTATTACGGAACTCACTCGTTCCATTGTGCCTTACGAACTCTCTCTCTCTCGAGCCTAACCAGCAACCGTACAGCGATGCATAATATAGGCAGAATATTATTAGGGAAAAGGACAAGACAGTCTCCTCTGTTTTTGTAGGTAAGCATATTCTGCCGGAATTTCACTGTACATACCAGGAAAAGAAATAAATTGACCTCGTGGAGGCTGTTGCGTCGAGGATGGTACAGATACCTCAAGGAAGTGGACAAATTAACAATGTGGCATTTCATAGCCTGAATGATGAGAATAGTGTCTTTCGTCACCGCCGTAACCACAAAGCATCAAGGTTCGTGAGTCTACGACAGTTTTGTAAGTCACATTTCAGTGTTCCCTACCGTAGAGACGCGTTCTAATATCGTTAGTTGAAAAATTCAGTAGGATAATTTCCGCCCACGTGTGGACTTTTGAGAGAATTAGGACGCAATGCACTTTAGGATTATCATTTCTAGAGAACAATATACCCAGGTCTTTAATAATTTCTGGCACATTTAAGCCATAACTGTCAGTTCTTATTTCAGAGTAATGACCGCTGACGATCGTAAGCGAAAATTCACGCGTACAACTCGAGTTTTCCGAAGAACCTGTTCCTGTTTTCATTATATCGACTCGGAATGCATAACAGCTCTGATCTATATATATATATATATATATGAATAATGGAGGTAGTATGCATTCCGAGGCGATAAAATAAAAGGAGAAGACTCGTCGGAAAATCGACGTACACTTGTGAATTTTCAAATCGGTTACACCAACTCGTCGTCAGACGAAATGAAAAGCGTGAGGGAGATAACCCAACTAGGGAGCTATGAGGACATTGAGGGTACATCGACAAGACAGACGTTTATGTGTGAGGGTGAAGAACGTGTGTGGTAAGATGGCGGACGTTAGCATCAAACGTCATGTCGACTTGGACGCTCAATACGAAGGCCCACGTCCACGGTTCGCCGGCTTGCGCACACCTTAAGACACCAAATGCTAATCTATGTTCGGCCATATAGGATATCACGGATTCAGCACCTCCCCCACAGAGTGAAGCGTGTGTGAAACTCTCGGCACCTCCCCTAACGTCCGCCACCTATACAAACACGTTCCTCACCCCCACACATAAACGTTTGTCTTGTCGATATAACCTCGATGTCCCCCTAGCTCTCCAGTGCGATAATCTACCTCAACGACTTGAAAATTCACAATATATATGGGCAGAATGATATTACGACAAAGACAAGGGAGACTGGAATTGCCATTTCTGGCTTATTAGCCGTCATCAGCCAGTCATACCCAACCCCAAGTGTGGATCACTTGAGATTCGAGCCCGGGATCTTTTGTCATGGAGTTTGACGCTCTACCATTGAGCCACGGGCCCGTTGTCCTGTCGGTTGTGATCGGGAATACTACTTATGATAGTGGGCGCTCACCGATCAGGTTACGGAACGTGCTCGTTCAGTTGTGCCTTTGGGCTCATACAAGAACCCTCGCAGGCAGTCGCACAGAGACTAGTATTAGAAATAGATGATATGGTACCGACAAAGACAAGGGAGACCGGAATGTCCATTTCTGGCTTATAAACCGCCCTGGTCCAAAACACACATAATTAACCAAGATTTTTCATAAGCAACAACACGTCATAAGGGGTCAGAAGGATGAGAATGATGACTGAGCAATCATGCCCACCACCTGTATACCCAGCATGCGCATCTGCCTCCTTCTTAATGTGGTCTCCCTGGCACCTGCAGTCTGTGGGATCCAAACCGTCCACTTCCCCAGTTGATGAGTTAAATGCTGGTCGGTGTACGGCGTTGCGGTTCTACGCCACTACCATTTTGACTAACGCGCAAGTCACCGACCCTATTTCCCCTGGTGTAGGAGCACAAGTATGACAGCGTCGACAACGCTGGTTCGACTTTCATGTGTCTCGGGGGAAAATTAGTCACACGCTTTATTCCCACGCCGAATACACGACGAAGTCAGGGTCTTAAGGACGTTGGAACTGGGGGAATGGTCGTGGTTGGGCGTGATTGTTCTCAGGGCACTGGTCAGTGTGCAATCACAAACTGGGTTCGGCCAGGCGACAGACTGTCTTCTGGTAATTGAAAGCTGGATTTGCTGACCGAATCCTAATCATTCGGCTGCTGCTAGCATCCGTTTGGGTAGGACTTTGGAATACTTTGTGACTTGGCAAGGGCATGATATGTAGCACTCTTAGTCACATAGCTTCATAGTGCTTGATTAAATCGCAGGGTGTCTGCAATACGATGATGATGCAACTAACTCCAGCACACCTGGTTAGATTGGGTGTGGTTTAAAGCAATTACCATGAAGAAACTGACGTGTGCTTACGTGGAACCAGTCAAACTCGTTACGATGAAATCACATCTCCCCAGCAGGTACGATGCGTGACGCAAATGAGCGTTGACAGCAATGACAGGAAGGTGTTGTTTCCGCTGAGTGCCTGGGGCAGTTGCTACCAGCGATGACGACAGTGATCTTTGCGGTGGCTTCGTGTGCTCGAGGTTGATACTGAGGGGAATCCACTTTTCAGTAATGTGTATATAGCCGAAGAAAGTTGCTCTTAGATGTTCACCGGAGGCGCACCGTGTCCTAAATGTGCGTTGACAGTCAGTCTACGGGCCTATTTGAATCAGAAGTTCCTAGGTGACCTTTTGTCGGACAGCACGTAATCTGACAATAGGCTTCCGATGTGAGTTGCAATTGGTTGCGAATAAGGTCCGGTACGATCTCAAGTGGTATGCAGGCATTGTACGTTGCAAAGGTGACTATTTTCATTTTGCTGACACATCACAGGGTTTGGTCATCAAAGCGTTTAGGGCTTAAAAATTAAATAAAAACGAAAGTTGTTTGTGGACTTTGGTAGGCTTCTGTCGAGATGGCTGTACACATGCTTCTTATCAACCCTCATGTAACATTTTGCCAGTGTACTTGTTTGTTTGAATCGGAAGGCCCTAGGTGACCTTTTGCCGGAAGGCGCGTAATCGGACAATGGGCTTCCGTTGTGATATGTAATTGGTTGCGAAGGGGGTCCGGTAAGATCGCAGTTGGTAGGCAGGCACTGTACGTTGATACCGTTGACGTGCTTACTTGTTATCAGTGGGTGTGTTTACCTTGCCTAGGGAACTTGCCATCTGTAGGTGTGCTTCTACTGCGTGAGGTAGGTCGGCCGTTTTTGTCAGGTTGTTGGGTTTAGTGAGGGTAACGGTTAGACGTAGGTTATGCTTTAGGATTAGGAACTGCGTTATAGGGTCCAGCTTCTGTGTTAGGTTAAGGGTTAAGGTTTAAGATTATGTTTTGTATTTTGGGTTGGGTTTCGGCTTTGGGGTTAGGGTTACCGGTTAACGATGAATGGTTAACGGTTAAGGTTAGGGTAAGGGTTAAGGCTAGGTTTAGGTTTAGGGTTAAGTTCAGGGCTATGGTTAGTGTTAGGGTTAGGGTTAAGATTAGGGTTAAGGTTAGTGTTATCCTATCGCCAGTTATCATCTTCCGCAGGCTGTGCCATTTCCCGCGCGATTTTTTTTAATTTCTGCCATTACTTTACCTAACTAGAATTCCCAAGATTTTTTTGTTTAATTTTTTTCCCCGAAACTCTAGAATTCCTCAAGCAACAATTTCTGCTACCCCACCTGCATACCCAGTCTTCTTCCTTTGTTTTAATTGATCTATTCCTATGAGGTTGTCTTTACAGTACGCTAGCACCTTTTTAAAGGAGCTTAAACTCTGCGAAATTTCTGCATCGATTTTTCCGCCTCCTGATCATGACTCCAGTGGTTGCACTGAGCGGCCAATTTGTCGTTTCTGCGATTGTCCTGCGTTGGCGTTCTCACACTCATAAACGCAACGAACTCACCGTGAGAGAAGCAGTTACACTCTGACAGCTTGTCCTGTTTCTCGTCCTTCCTCGCTGGCCTTCCCACGCTCGTATCAGCAAAGGCCAATTTTTCGAAAGCAACATCGCTGTGGATGGCAAGTTGCGCTTAAACGCCAGCCTAAAAACAAGTTGTCAATCCCGGGTTTTAT